ATCACTTTTTACTAAAAATGACAAAAATATTCACCAAAATTAGAGAATTGAAGATATCATCATGAAATGAACAAATCTGAGAGAGGTCTACCCAAGGTACATATACACCAAGTATCAAAGCATTCAGGCTTGTAGTTTTCAAGAAGAAGTCGAAAAAGTAAAACATTGACACGGACGACGACGGACAATCACTCATATGATAAGCTCCGCTCGACAAAGTCGACAGCGGAGCTAAAAAGTTGACAAAAAAAACCATGAGCTCCACTCGGTCATCTTTGATGACAGCAGAGCTAATAAAAGAGTTGTACACCCACTATTAGGATAAGAATGGATTTGATAACATATGACTGATATCAGTAAATTGATTCAAAGATTTAAAAGTATACACAAGGATGACATTTTCTCAAGTTACTGTGACTCCCTAGGACCCCAGTGAAAGTTAGAGAATCTCTAGGATCCCAGTGAAAATCACTGTGACTCCCCAGTGAAAGTCACTGTGACTTCATAGGACCCGAGTAAAAAGAACTGCGACTCCCTAGGTAGTATGAGTTAGTGTGACTTGTTGTGTTGATTCAAAGCCCCAGGAATAATTTCACAATTTTCCTGACAAACAGTTTGCAGTACCTATTCAAGTTAGAGAAGAAATATGACTTGACTATTTCAGTAAAACAAGAACTCACCCTTTTACACAGGACAATCTGGTGATCAAACAAGAACAGTTGTCTGACTTTTGCTCTGCCTAGACCTTTAGATATTTTGGTGACTTCACCTGAATGTATTAATATAGAGCTTCTTTCTAGAACATCTTCACCCTGAGAAAGGTAACGACATTGTTTTTATTACTCTGAGATAACAAGTATGAGAGTCTGCTTCGACAATGCTTTGAGTCCCGATATTGCTAATCATCATTATTTGACTGACTGCTATGGCCACGGTTAAATTTGCAAGGTTTCATTTAGTATGGATCATTTAGTTTCTCTTTTATAAGTGTTAAAGATCATTAAACCGGTTTTATTACGGCTGGAGCAGTCTGCAATTGATCGTCTGTTCGTCTCACATACCTCCCATGCTTCTATCGTCAACTGCCATCTGGCAATCTTGTGAAGACTTTCCATTCGTCGCTTCCTCTCGTTGATCAGCGACGCAACATTCTTCATTTCCTGCAGTGCCTCTTTTACAGGTTCGTAATCTTTGTCTTCGGGTTTTGTGTATTTCAGTAGCTCCGCCAATTGGAGGGGATATTTGCAGATTTTCTGCACGGGCGTGAGAAGAAAACCATCCAACGAGATTTCGATCATTTCCTGGAGTAGCCTACAAGCCTGGATGTAAAAACATAATGATTTAACATGATGTGTGCAGCGAACATTTTCAAGCCAGTATAGATGTGCAGATAATAATTGAAAGCAAAACGTCACAAAAGTATATAGTGAGACACAGCAATTACAGTATATAAAGTGATTGAATTGTCACAGCGGCAGACGACTATAACCATGAGCCTTTGCATTTTCAGCACTAAAGACTCAATTCTCGTCTGTTCGCAGGTGACAACTCCTTCGCTTTAATACATTGCCTGCTGACGCAGTTTTTTCCCTGATTAGTTTTGGTTATCCATAGCTGTAACTGTATCTTTGCATTCTGAAACCCATCACAGGGCTTCAGCATTTAATGAATTTGCACAAATTGATGGGAGTATGTACTAAAAGTTTAAATTTCAAGCATTTTCAGCACGGTGAATCATCAATTATTTTTTCCCAATTCAATAAATTGAATGTCAGCAATAAATATATTATCCCCCATTCTTATTTCAGGTGAGCTTAAATATACCAGTTTGTTGAATGTCAAAACTCACCTCAAAGAAATGTCGATATTTGCGGTTCTCAAGAACTTCTTGTAAAGCAGCCGTAGCAGTGGGATGGTTATTGCAGTATTCAGCGTATATCTCAAAGCCGGCTCTCTGTAGAAATATTGCAACAAATGGTTATATAAGTATTTTATTTCAATTTCAAGTGGTGACCCATTAACTACCATGGCAGGCCTATCCATCTCGCCTTAGATGTGTACAGCAGTAGATAATTGTATCATGTGCTCCAGCAATCAGCTAATCATTAATCTGTGATCTGAACTGCAGCTTATATCTACAGTTCAAAAAAATTTCCACTTTTTTTTTTATTTACACCAGGTGCAAACAAAATTTGCACAGGAAGTTAGCAAACTTTCTAAGAAAGTCCATATGACCATTTCAATATAGAGAGGGACTTTCCAATTGGTGCTATCAAATAATCTATTAGTGTTATGAAAATCATTTGCTTCATTTTGAAACAATTTCGCACAATTTTCCCTGGTGCCACTTGATTTTGTAAGTACAATTAAGGGATATTGCAACATTGTTGTTGAATATACAAAGGAAGTTGTAAGTTATTTGTTCAATTTTATTTATGGTCGCTTCAACCATCTGGGAAAGTTATTGGAACATTGATAGGGACTTTGCAAGTTACCCGTACAAATCTTGTTTGCTCTAGCTGTAAAGGAGGGATATTTTTAACTTTCTAATTATAAAGTTCCATTTATCAAAATAAATACTATTTCTCAAAAACAAGACCTGTAACCAATAAGGCAAAATGTAAGAAACTTCAGCAAACAGTCACGATTATTACTGAAATGACATCAATCTGTTGGCAATCTGATGAAATATAGTGTGAATATGCAACAGGAATAACTTACATTGTCCAGAAAACAATTTCCAATTTCACTAAGGTGAGGTAGCTCTTGGTTAACACAAGATTCTAATTTCTTCATAAATTTACTTTGGAATTCATAAATGGCTTCAATGTTTCCAAAGATTTTTCCTACTAGTTCTGATGAAAACATTTCAGGCCTTTTGCAACACTGCTTCAAGTAGCCCTGGAGAGAAAGGGGATAACAACAACAGTAGCAAATTATTAATTATTAGGTTGGATAATTAATTCAATGTGTAAATAAAAGGAATTGTAAGTGACAGTACAATGCTAACAGGTTCTAGTTGTGCATCTCCTAGAAATGTATCTCCAAAAACTGTAAATTATTTTACCTGGAATTAATTTTCGCTGAAAACACCTTTCTGGTGTTTTGTATGGAAGTTATTTTCACTGATTTTTGACAAGTTGAATGTAAAATATAGAAAAAATGTTATATTCGCTGGATTTTATTTTCACTGAATCATTCCTTCAGCGAAGAAAGCGAAAATTAATTCCAAGCAAAAATAAAATCTGTTACTAACAGTATTTCAAAGTTGCATTCCCATTTGCAAATATGTAAAACATCACTTTCAGAACAAGATAAAAGTTGTTTTACCTGAAAAAAAAAGTTATATCAAAAGTAAATATACTGTCCTCACTTTGCTGTACATTTCATTTTGAGAGTATTGGAAGGTTTTATCCCTCAGACAAACATGCCTACAATCTCAATATTTGATGGTGTATTTATTAGTCGGGGAATGGCATCTCACATATTTACAAAGTAGGAAGACAACTTTAAGCTGTATGGCTGTAGAAAAATTCCTAGGATAGCGCAACAAAAATGCAAAACCCAACCCAAATAGGTTGCACTTACCTCACACACATCTCTGAGATGTTTGACGTAAATCTTTTCAGTGCTTGTGATTTCGTTTATAACCTTAGCACGTACTTGGTCTTTACTAAGAAAACTAATACTGATTTTTCTCATATTCTTAGATGTTAATGAAAGCGTTCCATCTTTGATTTTGGCGACACAATCCTCAACTGTCTCACCCTGATTGACTCTAGGCTGTAAAACAAACATATTGAAGACAGGTTGAAAATGACAGACATTTCACAAACATTATTGTTTCTTAAATTTCAGGAATGCTGAAAAAACAAACACATTCATCTTTAAAGCTGCCATAGTTGTTGATAGGTGACTGGTTCAAAATGGGGCGTATGTGACGTACAAATACACTGTCTGTCTGTCTGTCCGTCCTTCTGTCCGTCCGTCCGTCCTTCTGTCCGTCCGTCCGTCTGTGAAAACTGTGCTGATTTAAACCTGGCTAATGATTAGCTAATTTGTGGCAAAAGAAAAACCAATTGGGGAACTTAATGAATTTAAAAAAAACCTACCCTGACAAATGATGCAGGAAACCAGCCTTCTTTCATATTTATTCGTCCCCACCACCAGTCTTTATCCAGTTTATCAGTGACTTCAATCACGTCACCTGCCTGGAATGGCAACTCATCTTCATCCATTGTCACATGGTCCCATAACGCTTCCACATAGGTCATTGTTCCACTGTAGTCTTCATAGTAGTAATCCTGACGTGTACAATAGAATAGATATTAAACACAAGTATCAAGTTTTCTTGAGCGTAAATCAACGTTCACATTTTGTCCTTTTAGTCACAATTTACACACACGTTTCATCAGTACTTACTCTACTGGAAATGCATCTCAAATAGAAGAACATAAACTGAAGATTACATTTATTGTACGCTTGATCATTAAAATATGACTTTAATATTTGGAACACAGACACACCTGTTATACACATACAGTACAATACAGCGTTTGTGTAACGTGTCATTGTTTTTGCATTCACATTTCGAACATTAGGATCATGCTTTTTATCAATACCATGCCGCTCATGTATTTATTACCTTTTTTTTATTCCTTCTGTTGCAAATTGATGTCTCACATTTAAACTGTGCCGCTGAATATTTTAATATACTTTAGCCTAATTACAATACTCGCCCTTGTCTTCCACTTCATTTTGCAGGATTTACAATACATTGCATCAAAATCATTGAAACAGAACATCACGACTATTCATCAAAATCTCACACTTTATCATTAGATTTCTCAAAACAATCTCACTGCTTTAAAGCGTTGCTTCTCTATTCCTGGGATTGCTCCACTGAATCATGGGATACTATTTTCTTGATGTTTAAACTAATCTGGCTTTTGTTACACATTGTATTTTTAAACAAGTAAGAAAATAGACTGAAAATTATTCTAAGTATAACCCCGTACATGCTTTGCAGAAATTTTACTAGTGACATTGACATGGACTCAACTGTGAATTTATTGTGAATTTGGTGCCGTACAAGTTTTAAGCTTTACATTTAACAGTGACAGTGGTATACTAACACATACATGATGAGATTAATATTAGTCATCGGTGCATTGCTGAGAACAAAAATCACACAATGTTGCTGGTGAAGTGCTGCTTAAATTTAAGTTGATCGAGTGCTGTTGTGGAAGGCCTACCCATGTCTACAGCAAGGAAGCTCAATCACAGTTAGCAGCATTGATACAACCGTGCTGTAGCCATAGGTATGGTCTCAGTTATGATGAATGTGTTGGTTAGTTGGCTTGATCCTGATTGGTCCATTCACACCATGTGATGCTGCTTAATGTGCTAGTGCTGATACAATTCTCCACTACGTGATGCTGTCATGTAAACTATGTGCAGACTATGAAGAAGTGATTTGATTTTTTTTTTTTTTTTTAAGTGGTAAACATTGATAGTGATTGTACATATCTGATATTGTGGTGCCACCTTTTTTTAAAATGAATAAATATACATGTGATCCATGTTGAAAATGTAATGATGAACACATCTGAACACTGACTGACAGTATCCATGGTGATTTAATCTGATATAAGGACATACAAGGTACTGGGGAAGTCAGTATTTTATTTTCGTTTACCAACTTGTACGTGGTGCCCATAACATGGATGCCATTAGTTTGTACAAATGAAGGGAGACAGGTCCAAAACAAATGAGATATACAGACTTACCTGTGGTGCCAAGCCAGTATGTATCGTTTCATACCCTGAGGTGGAGATGTCTTCACCACTACTGGAATCCTCATCATGAAGGTTACCTAGTGAATCAAAATAAAATTACTTTCTCTCCACATAAAACTCTCATGCCAGAAGTAACCCATTGGTAAGAGAAATATTTTTTTAAGATGTGATATGTTCAGAAGGCTTTAGTCAAATTGAAATGTTGCACTACCGAGCATATTATTTTACATATATGCAATGCATTATGGGAGAACTTCCATTGTATATTTTGTAAAACTATTATCATAGTTGACATTTTTTTGAATATCTTAACAATACATGTTTATTAAAATTAGGAGTCATCTTAATTTGTTAAGCCATGGAGAAATAATTAAAAACTTTGACCATTTTTCTCAAATAATTGTACATTTTCGTCATGGAGATGACAATATAGAGGCTATACTTCAATCTAAACCGTAAGCCTACGTTTGATAGTATTCTCAACAGCATTTCTGTATTATTACAATGACTATGTTGTTATGAAGACGTTAATGAAGTGTTAAAGAAGTGCACGTACCTGGTCTGATATTTGGATCAATTAATTGGTGTAAAGCAGACGGTGTACTAAATGACCGAGATATATTGCTTTCGGTAGAGTTAGGTGTAAATGGTTGAGGTGGTTGTTGGATCACTGACATATCCTCTGGACTCAGCACACCGGACTATAAACAACATACAAAAGAGTTAGTGTGTTTGACAAACCAGCATTACAATAAGTCATCAACTTTATTTTTACTTCTACCAGCAGTTAGATTTCAATCAAAGCTTAGATACAGTCCCTTTATCACTGGCCTAAAGATAGTTTTATCCGACCATTCATTACCTGAGCAAACAAAGTTTTGTTTGTTTCTTTGTTGGCACTGTTTTTTGTTCAGTCTTGACAAATTTGAAATTATGAATCAAAAATTCAAGTCAATCTACAACACACATCGTAATATAACCTAACCTAACCTACCATACCCTTAACTTAATCCTACTTAACCTAATCTAATCTAAACTAACTTTACCTAACTTAACTACCCTACTCCCTACCAAACAAATCAAACCAAACCTACCCTAAACTAAGACCCTACCTAACCTACCTTAACTGCTCAACCTAATCTAGACTAATCTAATATAAACTAGAGTTGAATTCCAGTGGTGAAGCATTCACAATTTGTGAGAAACACTGTAATGACGCTAATAATTTACTGTTTTTAACATTAGGTAGTCACATTAACACTGATGAATTTAAATGATTGATATCTTTGAGTTAAACAACTATATTTGCCAACAATTTACATGTGTACAAGACATTGACTTACATATCGTCTTCTCTGCACATAGTCATCTATTTCTTTGAGATCAATATGTCCCAGATCTGATACTGGACGTGGACGTCTCGCTCTTCTCAATTTCGAACCTGCTGGTACTTTGGTTGATTCTTCTGCTGAAAAGTATATTTAATTCAATATATTGTTAAATGACATAATTGAAAATAACAAAATTGATTATGACTGATGATAACGGCCAATGAGTCGTGACAGCAGTTTATTGTACTAAAAGCATAGCAAGCTTGAAAATGTATAATTTCACACCAATGATAGCATGAGAACTTCTAGGAAGCAGGAATTTTGTTGACATTGATGAGCATGAGTAGCAAATCATAAACCACGCTGCATATTGATTTCTTGCATTAATGGGAGACAGGACATGATGTTATGGGCCATAATTTCCCATTACAAACTTTGAAGTAGCTGGCCTGGAAGTTTAGTGTATATTTGAGAAGGTGGAGTTTTTTAAAGCAGTGAAGTCGTTACACACGTGTGGTCATGGCTTTGAACTGATCAGTGTCAAAAATTGGAGAATGATTTGTTGATGACAAAATTATGTTGACCTTGCTTTGTACTTCAATTTAATCAGCCAGTGTATAAGTAGTTAACAGCACAGGATATCAGAGAGTTATTTCAGGTGTTCCCCACACCTCAGATCAAATGTAATGCACTATTTATACAAATTCGACATGACATCTAAACATGTACATTACGTTATGATTCAATATTCAGGCTTTTACAGCAAACAATTCGAGGTGATAATATCGCTTTTTGTGATTCGGTCTTACAATATTTTGCCTTGTAAATTGCTTTGATTTAGAGAGAGACCGATATTTGTCAGTCAGGAAAAAAAAACGTGATGTCCGTAATCAACTTGCACAAATTCCAGTTATTTAAAATTGGCAATAATTGACCACATTTACTGCACTGATAGTACACATAAAGTAGTCTCTATTATTCTAAGTATGGAAAATGATACTTTATTACTACCTTATACTACCGTAAAATATATTTGGATATTTAGAGTACTAATGAATTCCAACTTATGGTCCGGATAGACTTAAAATACACCACGAATATTCACTTTTGAGATATCATTTTTGGTATGTGTTGGTTCCTGGATATCTAAGCTTCGTCGTCCTGTACTTCGTTTAGTAATTCGAACTTCTCGGTTTGCGTAAAAAGGGGGAGTTTTGCGATTCGAGAATGCCTTTGCTTCATTATTTGCTGAGGGACATCCGCTTAGGTATGTGCTCTGTAACTTACAGCACATGACCTAAAAACGTTAGGTAATCAAACAAAAATGACGTTGTACTAAAGTCCAAAAAGTACGTTCAAGGTTTTCATTTTTTTCGTAGCATAAAAACGATTCACTCCCTCGCTTATTGTGACACCCTCAAATCAACTGATTTACATTACCCTCAAGAGTGCTTCCATTTTATGCTACGACTGGAAAAAGCCTTTTTTGCTAGACGTGTTCATTTGCTTTTATTTATGTTTCAGTGGCTGTCACTGTCGCATTCTGAGTCTTAGCCGATAACATTTTGGTTCAAATCCACGTAGCTATCGCCGAAAATTCAAGAAATCTTTCATTTCTTTGTCAACTAACATGCCGGAAATCAAATTAGCATAACAATGCATTCGAAGGTTGTTGCCATTTTATTCGACAGCTTTCCACACTAGTGCCACACCACATACAACTACCCCCCGGTAAAACATTTAAACCTTTGTTGGGAAATTCACATGTAAATTGCGTTTTTAAGTCGCGTACCATAAATTGCATTTTACAGTCCCTCAAGTTTGTTCCAAAGACTGCAGTCGCACCAGAGATAACCAGAACATTGATTCGTTTCAAAAACGTTTGTCGTTAAATTCACGTTTAAAAACGTTTTTGACCCTTGTGAATTGATGATAAGCAAACAATCATGGTAGATTGACCCCGACTTTCTGTCGATTCAGAAACGCAAAGGAGATAAGACTCGATTTTCATAGACTTTTGTTTCAGGTTCGATAGCATTTAGTGTTCATTTCTATGCAATATAAAATCATATCGATGCTGTGGGTGGCGAAGGCTGACAGATTGTTTTGGTTCTGTGGCCGGCTCTCATGGCATGGGCAACTGACATTACCTGACTTTTTTTTACTATTCTGACATGTTCTGGGCTGTATCATGGAGCTAAAAATTAGCTCCATGGCTGTATATAACAGTTAGACACTGACAAGTAAGTAGGTTGGTACTAGTAAATAGCCCGGGACATAGTCAATATAAAAGTCTGAATCAGTTAGGCCCTGAAAATAGCGTCATCGCACAGTATTCAATTAATGAACGAAGTTCACATAACAATCTTATGTCTACAAATCATCCCATAATTATTGACAAGTTGATACTAGCTTATACTAAAACAATCCGGTAGGTTGGTTGGCGATCGGATCCGCTAAAAAAACAAGCATGTTTTCAGCTGTTGCCACGATAGGCACCGGGCACAGTATACAAAGTTCGCCAAAAAAACACTCAGTCTTTAGAAGTCACTTTATTTTATTGCTAGGACGTATTCTGCTGTTAAATTTGTTATTTCCAACTGTTTTGCAATAGTATTTTCCAGATTGAAGGCAGCATTAACAGTTCATTCAAAGTTAAAAGTTGAGTTGGGATTACGTTGATACAGTGTAACAATGTTGGCGCTGGTGATCTCTTACCGGTGTGCAGGCAACGTAGCCAAAATAAAAAGCATGACCATTTAAACACTGATAGTACAAGACTGGTAATAGGTAATAAATTTGGAGCGAAAGTATTCCAATTAGTGGCGGTACGACCTGTCTGTCAAGTATGAACAAAATCAGCCAAGCCAAAAAAATCACAGAAGAGTTAAAAAGCAATTCTTGGTGAACTGTAACCCCAACTTTGGGGTCAAATTTCTCGGTAATGAAAAAAGATACCAAAAATTCAGATAGTAATTTTGTGCCCACACTCAAGCTGAGTCGAATGAGCTATGTCTGAGGTGTTTTATCCTGAATTTGTAGGAGAAGATACATTTGGGACGAAGCTAATCAGAAATCATTTTTTTTGGCTGTTGCTATGGCAACAATGGAGCCAAATATTTTTAAAAGATTTTTTCCAATAACCAGGGTGAAGGTGTGACCTACCTGCCAATTTTGAGCGAAATCGGCCAAGCCAAAAAAATCACAGAAGAAATAATACGTGAAAACACTGGAAATCACACACACAGACACGCACACACAAATTTTAATGGCAATCCTAGCAGAGCGGATCGCCAACATGTTATTAGAGTACTAACAAATTCCCACTTCCGGTCTGATTACAATTAAAATACACTACGAATATTCACTTTTGAGATTTTTGGTATGTGTTGGTTCTTGGATATTTCAGCTTTGTCATCCTGTAATTCATTTAGTAATTCGAACTTCCCAGATTGTGTCAAATCGGAGAGTTTCTTGATTTCGATATCGAAACCGCCTTGGCTTAATTATTTACTGGGGGGGGGGGGGGGGGGCTTAGGTACGTGCTTTGCAACTTGCAGCGCATGAACCTAAACATGTTAGGTATCCAAATTCACCGGAAGTTGA